CCTTCGTCAGGTAAACTTTACACTCTCACCTGTCCTTCATCAGGTCAACTTTTTTCCACAGGACATAAGTGAATTTCTGTAGATCATTTTATGTAATAAAAGTATTTAAATTCAAATTGTCAACTTGATTTGTTCAGTTCTATCACCTTTGCTCATTACGACTGTCACAGTAAAGCTCCAGCAGCGAGGGGTTTTTCACTTTCTCACAGCGCTGTCAGTGTTTCTGCAGTGACTCGTTGTCGAGATGAATTCTTCTCACCGCTGTTGCAGGTCCACTGAGCTGGACTCTAACTGGTCCTGGTATCAGCTGCGCTGTATGCAGGTGGGCGGCAATGCCAGCGCGGTGAGTGTCACAAACCAGTGCTAATCAGCATCCTGTGCGCTCTCACTGTGTTTGTGAGGAGCATTAATGTGAGTGTGTTCCCTACAGAGTGCCTTCTTCAGTCAGCACGGCTGTATCACCAGCGCAGCCAACACCAAATACAACAGCAGAGCAGCGGTGCTGTACCGCGAGAGAATCAAGAGTCTGGCCACGCAGGCCACCAGACAGCACGGCACTGAGGTCTGACACACACACACGCTCTCACACACACACACACACACACACACATACAGACTCACACACACGCTTACACACACATGCTCACACTCACACACTCACAGAGTCAAATCCAGAGCTCGTAGTGCTCGTGATCGTGCTCATGCTGTTGTCTGTGTGTTCAGTTATGGCTGGACAGTCAGGCTCCTCTGTCACCCACGTCACCCCTCGACAAACACGAGGACTTCTTCACCCAGCACACCCAGGTGAGGAACAGCTCCCGCTTCACGCGACTTCATTGATTACAATTTATGTAATGAGCATTCATGGATCATTTATCATATTTATGCCTTTAAAACTGTCTGCTTTTGCCGTTTTTCCCCAGACCCCCCTTAGGGAAGGATTCAGTGTTCAGATGAACACCAGCCAACCACAAGATGAAGCTCAGGATAAAAATAACAACGGTACAGTAACTAGGGGAACACAGTGTGCTCACATGAATGATGTTTTGTGTTTCTGGAGGATGGCCGCCGTGTCATTTAATACGTATGCATGGATCATTTATCATATATATGCCTTTAAAGCTGTGTGCGTTTGCCGTTTTTCCCCAGACGCCCCTGAAGGAAGGACTCAGTGTTCAGCTGAACCCCAGCCGACCGCAGAACACCGTTCAGGATAAGAATAATAACGGTATGATAACTGAGGAAACACAGTGTGCTCCTATGAGTGTGATGTGTTGTGTTTCTGGAGGATGTTTCTCTCTTGAGCGCAGGTGAGAGTGATGTGGGTCCCAGTGTGGAGCAGCTCAGTGTGTCTCCTACATCTGCCGCAGGTAAAGCTCATCCTCCTCCTCACTGACACACACAGCTCGAATCATAACTCACTGTATCCTGAACATCTGATTCTCCTCTCACAGAGCTGTCCTCTCTGATCAAGAAGAAACACTCCACAGGAAAGAAATCGGTGAGTTTCCTGCCAGCGCTTCATAACCGGGTCATAATCTGTTCATTTATTATTCAGAAATACGTTAAAATGCAGTCATACACATGTTGACTTGAATACTCGTCTTCTATGATGAATATTAAAATTAATTTTCATATTTGGGGGGGGGGCTTAAAGTCAAATATGTCAGGGTGGTGCAACTGTCCTAGTATTAAAATGAAGCAAAAGGCCCCATTTAATGAATTCAGATCTTGGAAAAAATAATAGTTTGTCATGATCGTTTATTATTATTTCTTAGAAAAAATATTTTAACAGCTGTTTCTCAGTATTTGAATGCTGGTAACTCCACACTGATGGACATGAAACAGGAAATTATGTCATAGAGTGGACCCCTGCAGACCCTCATGCAAGCCTCTTAAAATATTGGTCTTTTTATGACGAGGCAAGGTTAGTTCAAGTTGTTGAATGTCATGTGGTGTAATCCCACAGTCATTTATACCATGTAAAAAAAATATTTAAAAACTTTTTTGTAAATAATAACTAAGATGTGTTTAAATTATTTTAATTCTTTTTACTTGATGGTTACCCCACGTGATATTTTTAAGAGTCAGAGAATGTTTCTGCAAATTCAAAGTCATGTGGTGCAACCATCATGCAGAGGTCAATAAGCCGCTGAAAATATCAGATCATTTGACCTTGATTGACAGGACAAGGTCAGTTCAGGTTGTAAAACATCATGTGGGGCGACTCCCCAGAAACTTTTATAATTTATGATATTTGTAAAAAAAAAAAATGTTATACCTTGAAAAATAGGTTTTTGGAAAACAGTGATTGAGATGTGTCCACATACATGCATTTAATGTGTAAGGAAAGCATTTTGGTTTGGTTATACCATATGACATTTATATAGTCAGTAAATTGAATACATGTTCATCATGAACACAGAGTAAAATTCTCTTTAGAGCATTTGACCTTACTTGACAAGGCAGGGTCAGTTCAGGTTGAAAACTGTCATGTGGTGCAACCCCTCAAAAACGCCATGCTTCTTATGAATTAAAAATAAAGTTCAAATATCAGATCTTTTGATCTTGATTGACGTTAACAGGTTCAGTTCAGGTTGAAAACTGTCATGTGGTGCAACTTTAAATGTTCAAAACCACATGAAACCTTCATGAACCCAAAGAGCACGTTTGCAAGAGCTTGAGGTGTGTTTTATATAACTGAATATGTTAAAGGCGTTTCTGCAGTCTTGAGCTGTTTGTTTTGTGGTTTGTGTGTGAATGAATGAATCAGATGGGCAGCAGGAAGGCGGGTCTGGGCGCTCAGAAGGTCAGCAGTCAGAGCTTCAGTGCGCAGCAGAAGCGAGCTCAGGCTGTAGACAGACTGCAGGAGGAGAAGAGCCCGCAGAAGAGCAGCGCTGAGCCCGAGTGAGTGAGCATCTGAAGATCAGACTCTCAGCCAGAACACATGAGCGTCTGCTCATCCTGCGCTCGGTTTGTGTGTGTAGAGTTTTGTCTCTGAGTCGTGCGTATGAGAGTTTGGAGGTGCAGAGGAGGAGGGACGAGGTGAAGCTGAGTCGTCTGGACAGCAAGAAGAAGGAGCAGGCGGAGCGGCTCGGCATGGGCTTCGGCGGACGCAGGTCAGCGCTGCTCCATAGTTCCCCTAAACACAAACCTCTTCTCTAGCTCGTTGCCTAATCTAGTTGTCTTATAAAACTATCAAATATCGTTAAATGTTTGACAAATTGATTTTGTTCCTCTTTGCCAAGTAATAAGTTGTTTTTGTAAGTTGTAAATCTGGGCGGAGTGTAATTTTTGACACATGAGATTTCAATGTGGGAGAAGTTTTATTTGGCCAGAGAGATTTCAGTCTGGGCGGAGTTTAATTTTGACCAATGAGGTGTGAGTGTGGGCGGATTGTGATTTTTGACCAGTGTGAGTGTGGGCGGAGTTTACTTTAGACCAATGAGGTGTGAGTGTGGGTGGAGTTTAATTTTGACCAGTGAGTGTTGGTGGAGTTTAATTTTGACCAATGAGGTGTGAGTGTGGGCGGATTGTGATTTTTGACCAGTGTGAGTGTGGGTGGAGTTTACTTTAGACCAATGAGGTGTGAGTGTGGGTGGAGTTTAATTTTGACCAATGAGGTGTGAGTGTGGGCGGATTGTGATTTTTGACCAGTGTGAGTGTGGGTGGAGTTTACTTTAGACCAATGAGGTGTGAGTGTGGGTGGAGTTTAATTTTGACCAGTGAGTGTGGGTGGAGTTTAATTTTGACCAGTGAGTGTTGGTGGAGTTTAATTTTGACCAATGAGGTGTGAGTGTGGGCGGAATGTGATTTTGACCAGTGTGAGTGTGGGCGGAGTTTACTTTAGACCAATGAGACGTGAGTGTGGGTGGAGTTTAATTTTGACCAGTTAGGTGTGAGTGTGGGCGGAGTGTGATTTTGACCAGTTAGGTGTGAGTGTGGGCGGAGTGTGATTTTGACCAGTTAGGTGTGAGTGTGGGCGGAGTGTGATTTTGACCAGTGAGGTGTGAGTGTGGGCGGAGTGTGATTTTGACCAGTGAGGTGTGAGTGTGGGCGGGGCTAAGGCTGCCGTCTCCTGCTGTGTTTTCCAGCGGTCTGTCTCACTCGGTGATGGAGGACATGCAGATGATCCAGCAGGAGTCTCCGGCTCAGAGCTCCTCCAGCAGAAGAGCGTATGAGGAGGACGAGGAGCAGGAGGACAGGCGCTTCTCCTCCAGGTGATGCTTCATTCCTGAGGCTCTGAGCTGTTAGTGTCTCCCGCTCCGTGTTCATGAGTGTGTCCCGACTCTTCTCACAGGCTCCCGGATGAAGCCACGGGATCGTCGGATCTGTTCTTCTCTCAGTGGAAGGAAGCGACAAAGCAGACTGACGTCTACATGGACGCGGACGAGAGGTCAGATGCCTGTTAGGACTGTACCACACTGGAAAAACCTGCCGTGTGTTGTCACTATAACTCAGTGTTTGTGCTCTCAGGGTGTCAGTGAGGAGGAAGGAGCCGCAGCCCGTGTCTGATGACGCTCAGAGGAAGTTTGCCGACGCCAAAGCCATCTCATCAGACATGTTCTTCGGGAAGCAGGACAACGCAGAGGTGAAGCGCTGCCAACACACCGACCACACGCCGCTGAGAAACACGAGCTGTGTGTAGTTAAACTGTTATTCTGTCGTGTTTTCTGCTTGCAGTATGAAGTGCGGGCGCGGCTGGAGAATTTCTCGGGCAGCTCAGCGATCAGCTCAGCCGATCTGTTTGACGAGCAGAAGAAGTCAGCAGGTGTGTCCTCCGGCTCCTACAGCTTGAGCAAGGTTCTGCCCGCCGTGCCCGACATGACGCAGTTCAAGAGCGGCGTCCGCTCGGTGGCCGGGAAGCTGTCGGTCATGGCCAGCGGAGTCGTGTCCTCCATACAGGTCAGTCACTAACTAACACTAACACTAACTGACCCGGTCACCCGTCTGGGTTTACGCTGATCTCTGTGTGTGCTCCGCAGGATCGCTACAGCACTTGAGACCGTCTCCAGTCGTCCTGAAGAACCTGCTTCACTTTCTGCCCTATATCTTTATCATTTACTCGGTGGCTTTGTTTGGGATTCTGTTTGTTTGATGCCGCAGCTTGAGTTTTGACTGAAACGAGTCGTCATTCGATCACTTGGGGACCAAAACTCATCTTTAGTTGAAGTGAAATGTTTGCACTATATTCCAGCTGTGTGTGCTACAGTAATATATCATAAACGGCACAATAGCACAGGTGCGTCTGTATCGTCTCACACACTCGTGTGGTTCTCATAGAAAAGCTTTATATGATGTGTAATGTAGCAGAGGATGAAGATGATGAAGAGGTTCGTCTCGGGGCGTTTCGCACACTACACACGTGACAATCGTTTACCTGAAGCCTTATTCATCTCATTGCCTTATCTGTGTTTGTTTATCGTATCGGTGTTTATCTTGCGTTGTCATTTATGAACATGTATAAAACACGAGGGGTGGGTGATTTATGTGGTTCATTGGTTTAACTCAATAAAGATCAGACTTGAAAAATAACTGAACTGTGGTCTTGTTCATTACATTTATTTTTTTAAATTATTTTAAAAGTAATGTATTAAAAACAGAGCGCTGTGTGACTTATTACCGACAGACATTTGTGTGCCATAAACTATAATCGTTTACTCCCAATGAATAATTCCCGACGCACATATGTAAATACAGTGAAATAATAAAGTATTACATTAGTATTCCCCATCGAAAAATCACACGCAGCTGTGATTGGTCAGTCCTGACAGCGCCGAGAAAAGCTATCACGTGACAACTGTGAGGAAGAACACAAATCATTTACAGCTAAACACTCATACTTACTAACTTTAACCGACGCTGAATTAAATCAGACTTGAAAAATAACTGAACTGTGGTCTTGTTCATTACATTTATTTTTTTAAATTATTTTAAAAGTAATGTATTAAAAACAGAGCGCTGTGTGACTTATTACCGACAGACATTTGTGTGCCATAAACTATAATCGTTTACTCCCAATGAATAATTCCCGACGCACATATGTAAATACAGTGAAATAATAAAGTATTACATTAGTATTCCCCATCGAAAAATCACACGCAGCTGTGATTGGTCAGTCCTGACAGCGCCGAGAAAAGTAACAGCTATCACGTGACAACTGTGAGGAAGAACACAAATCATTTACAGCTAAACACTCATACTTACTAACTTTAACCGACGCTGAATTAAACAAACAGTAGAGAGTTGAATATTAGCGTAATTATTATTTAGACTCGCCTAAGCCCCGCCCACTCGGCCTGCGCCTCTGCTCTGATTGGCTTTTCTCCTGTCTTTATTGTGAATATATATCGGTTACTTCTCGTATTTTAAAACCCAGCAAACTTTGATCATTCAGAATATGTCGTGGAAAACGAGTTTTAACCAAGCAGCAACCTCCCGCTCTCTCTCGTGAAGTGTGACGCGCGGTGACGCGCTGCCAAGATGGCGACGGCCCACTCCGCCCACTTTGAGCCTCAAAAACGCTCTTCGGAAATCTACGAGTGACGTCACGGACACTACGTCCATGTTTTTATACAGTCTATGGTTTAAACACTGTAAGAACGCGTCTAAGAACCGTTCGAAGCATCTAAGAAACTCCTCCTCCTCTGTTGCCGTCAAATAAAGCAGTTGCCGTGTCGACTTGCTACTGTAAACAAAAGCTTGCCCCGCCTCCGGGGCCTTCTGATTGGTCCACTGTTTTGAACTGACATTAATGAGCGGCGCTTGGTGTAAAAGTTGAAATTCTTTTAACATGACAGCGTCTTAAAAACGCGGCGCTCATGTGCGAGACTCTGAGGAAGACACGAGATGCGACGCACTGGTCCGTCTAGCACGTTTACATAGACAACCGATGGGAAAGTAGCGCACTGGAATGGAAACAGGCGTTGTGTGTGAACGGGCCCCGGATGCTGCAGCGGTCAGCACCGGCACCAGTGAGGGGCCGCTGGTGACGGCGCGTGAGTTAGTGTGCAGCAGCACGAGTGCAGCGGGGTCCGGCGTCACGCTCCGCACCTCCCTGGCCGAGGTCTCCAGAGCCGCCAGCATGCCCTGCTCCTCCGCTAGCTTACAGAACTGCACCTCGCGCTCCGCCTCCAGGTCACGCTTGTTACCTGAGGACACACAGAAGGCCTGTGAGGACAGACGAGAGCTGGAGGAGAGCGAGGCCTTACCGATCAGCACCATCAGCACGCTGGAGGCTCCGAAGCACTGCAGCTCGTGGAGCCAGCGGAGCACGGACTCGAAGGTGGCCCTGCGGCTGATGTCGTAGGCGATCATGGCCCCGTGAGCGCTGCGGTAGTAGCTCTGCGTGATGGTGCGGAAGCGCTTCTGCCCCGCCGTGTCCCACACCTGCATCTGCACACACACACACACACACACTGATCACTGGAGCTCCTCTGAGAGACCGCCGTCATGGAAACCACACACACCTGTGTGCACGAGAGAGAGAGAGAGAGAAACACGCAGCTGACTGCACACTCAACACTTTGCGCTGCATACTAAACACTGCATACTGAACACTGAATATTTCATACTGCATACTAAACATTGTGCACTGTATACTAAACATACTGGGTGCTAAATACTGCACACTGTGTACTAAACACTGCATACTGGATACTAAACTCTGCATACTGCGTACTAAACATACTGCCTACTGAACACTGCATACTGCCTATTGAACACTGTACATTTCATACTGCATATTAAACACTGCATACTGTACACTGAATACTGCATACTAAACACTGCACTGGACCCATTTCACAAGACCGTGACGACGTGTTTCAACGGTCATCAGCTTCGTAAATCCTCCAAAATTTCTTATAATTAAATTTTTTTAATGTATGTACATTTAGAACACTATTCTTTGTATTATATAACCTTTGCATCAAATTACAAAAAAACTAGTAAACGCTAATGCAAGGGTGTTTCTAATTCAGCGGCTGTGGGAGTGATGGTAAATTTGACATCGTTCTCTCTTCTGACTGCCGTTATCAGCCTCTATTTTTTTCTTTTTTGAAAGTCGTGAAAACACTATCGTGGAGTTTTTTGCCCATTGCATACTGAATACTGTACACTGCACGCGTACTGTACACTGCATACTAAATACTGAACACTGTACAATGCATACTGTACACTGCCTGTTGAACAGTTTACACTGCATACAGAACACTGTACACTGCGTACTAAATACTGCATACTGTTTATTGTATGCTGCATACTAAATACTCCATACTGTACACTGCATACAGTCTGTTGAACCCCGTAAACTGCCTACTAAACACTGCATACATACTGCCTTCTGCTTGATCCATGTTGAATACTGATTATTGGCTTGTGCTCAGTGTACACTATGTACTGCATTACAGAACATTGTACACTTCATTCTGCCTACTGTTTAGTGTATACTATGAATACTGTACACTACTGAACAGTGTAAATTACACCTGCACAGTGAATATTATATATTACATACTGCAGTGCACTCTACATACTGCCTACTGCACAATGTGTACAACATGCTGCCAACGACACATACTGCAAACAGCAAAGTTTACATTACATAGGCATGAGAGCAGTACACTACATACGCTGTACACTGACTATTTAACACTGTACTACATACTGCATATTGAACAATGTATTCTGCACAGTGCCTAGTGAACAGTGTGCATGCTGCAGTGTACACTATATACTGCCTGCTGAGTGTACACTACATACTGCAGTGTACTACAGTCTCCATAAACCATATGCATAATTGAAACCTGCAATATTCCCCCATAAACACTTCAAATTGGCTGGTGAGTGAGAAAGTTAATTTCAAACCCTGTATATATACATTTATGTATATATTTATTTATTTTTATTTTTTTGTTTACAGTTGAGAACCAATTAAGCTGACGTTTCTAGCTTACTGAACTAGCTACTTTATCAGTTAGGTTAACGTGTATGTTAGATAATAGTTTTTCAAACAAATATTTGGTTGCTACATCAAAAAAGACGGCGTTGGTGCGTCTGAAGCGCAGATAAAAGTCACGGGACGCCAAAGTGTGCTGCTTTTGTGTTAGCAAACTAATATCACGAGAGTATGTTTATTCGGTTATTAATAACTAACTGAAAACTAATCATGTACTATTAATTCACTTTGATTTAAAATCCGTTTTTATCACGAGGCGCGCTGCAGAGACTCTTAAGTTGAAGCGAGTTCGCGCCGGAAGCCGTTGATCTGTCGTGCTCTTCCTCTTCCGGTAACGTGCGCATCTCTTCAGCACATCCTACAGTCATCATGGTGAGCGGTGAAGTGTTGAAATCATAGTTTAATGAGACTGAACTGAGCGAGCGGCGTGTGTCTCTGTGTGTGATTGTGCCGCGATATTCGCGCTGTATTCGGGCGGGACGAGGCGTTGTGCGCTGCGCGTGTGAACAATGAGTGTCGGCCGCTTCATCAGATGTGTGATATAGATGTGATTATATATAATGTGTGTTTGAGTTGATGTCTCCGCGGGATATAAACGTGTTTGAAGCATACATATGAGTTTCTGTGACGCAGCATCAGTAAAGCGGTTCGTGAGGAAGCTTCTAGTGTGTTCTGAGGAGGGCGGAGTCACTGCCCCTCATTTGCATACTCATTATAAATTCAGTGATCAATCATCGCGATACTACTATTATTATTACACGGAGAATTATGCAGGCGATGGTAGTACCATGTTTAATATCAGTTTAAAAAATAAAATCGTTTTTAGGCGGCTAATTATTCAAATGATAGTAATATTGTCCCGAGTTCGAACCTTTCCTGATCCCGCCCACGTCACTTCCTGTCAGCTCTACGCTGTCCTAATAAAGGCCAGAAATACATCTTAGAAAAAATAATGATTCGAATATCGTTAATGTGGTCTGGATATTAAGTGATGTTAATATAATCGAAATGTGGTGTTTTATTAGTATAATTATAATAATATTAACAATTATAATAATCGCTTATTGCAGGTTTATTCAAAGTATAACGTCAAATGAAGCTATTATGAATGTAATATGAAAATGTCTAGTGTTAGTTTGATGATAATATCAATGTTATATAATAATAATAGCTACTATTTTATAAAATCTCAACCAAACAGCGTCTCTAGAAAGCTTTCTCGTAAATTTCTCAAGAGGTGAACAATTTAATCATATCAATAAATAAATGCCAAATCAGCTATTGATTCGTTGCTTCGTAATACAATTTCCAGAAATATCAATTATTTTTATTATGGACGTTCTGTAGTGTTTCTTGAGGGGCGGACCATAATTTCATATGTATTCATATCACTTAAACGATGCATGTTTAATAGAATAGGTCATGCAAAACAACATTACTAGCTAATAAATATATATATATATTTGTAATATTTATATATATATATATATATATGAATTGGAGTAGCAGTAATAGCTTGTAAGGAAGGCGTGTCGTCCTTCGCATGAGTGTGTGAGCTGGTTGTGGTCTGTGTTGCTGCCGCAGGCGTCTCTATCGATGACCCCCATGAGCATCTTCAGACACGGAGCGGACGAGGAGAAGGCGGAGACGGCGCGTCTGGTGAGTGACTCGAGCGCTCGCTCGCTCGTACACCTGAGCATTCATAACCTCCTCCGTCTGACGGAGAGTCTGTCTCTGTGTGTCCCAGTCGTCCTTCATCGGAGCCATCGCCATCGGGGATCTGGTGAAGAGCACCCTGGGGCCCAAGGGCATGGTACGACTCACTCGCACGCACATACGCTCATCACCGTGACCCTGACCCTGACCTCTGACCTCTGACCTCACAGGACAAGATCCTGCTGGGCGGCGGCCGGGACAGCAGCGTGACCGTCACCAACGACGGAGCCACCATCCTGAAGGCCATCGGCGTCGACAACCCCGCCGCCAAAGTGCTCGTGGGTCAGTTCAGACAGACGCATCATAATACGCTTCATGCTTCCTCCAGGAGGGAAAGCAGTCGTTTCTTGTGAATGCAGATGCGTCACAGTTTCCACACAAATATTGGGCAGCGCAACTGTTTTCTCAAGCAGCAAATCAGCATATTAGAATGATTTCTGAAGATCATGTGACACTGAAGTCTGGAGTAATGATGCTGAAAATACAGCTGCGCATCACAGAAATACATTAAAGCAAAAAGCCTCAAGAAGCCGTGGTTTACAGTGAATTTATAACAGCTAAGCGGCCTTCGAACGCGGCTCAGCCAATCAGAATCAAGGACCGGAACTATCCGGTTTATAATACATTCTAACATGTATTCACATAGAAAACGGCTGTTTTACATTGCAATAATATGTCAGCGTTTTACCAGTATTTCCAGCGAGCAGAAGAGACTTGTTTAAGAGTGCGAGTCCTTCACGAGCCTCTCTTGTCTGCAGACATGTCTAAGGTGCAGGATGACGAGGTGGGCGACGGGACGACGTCTGTGACGGTGCTGGCGGCGGAGCTGCTGCGGGTACGAGCTCTTCCACCTCACAGCGTCTTGAGTGAGTCGTGAGCCGTGTCTAATGTGTGACGCTTGTGCCGCAGGAAGCAGAGCTGCTGATAGCTAAGAAGATCCATCCTCAGATCATCATCTCCGGCTGGAGGAAGGCCACGCAGGCGGCGCGCGAGGCACTCAGGGAGGCGGCGGTGGATAATGGGTAACGAGCTGTGTGTGTGTGTGTGTGTGTGTGAGAGAGTGTGTGTGTGTGCGCGTTTTTGTGACAAATGAGGACATACATTTGTATAATGACAAAGGTATAACATAGGTATTACAAGGAGAAGGTGACTTTTCAGGACATTACCCCATGTCCCCACTTTTCAAAACGCTTATGTCTCTGTGTGTCTGTCTGTCTGTGTGTCTGTCTGTGTGTGTCTTTGTGTGTGTGTCTGTTTGTGTCTGTGTGAGTGTGTGTGTGTGTGTGTGTGTAAGTTTGTATAATAGAATGGGTGCTGTAGGCTACAGTAGATTGTTTTTGCATTAACAGAGACTGTCAGGTGTTTCAGCTCTCCATACATCACGGACAGCCTTCAGATAAACTCCATCCACGTGCTGCCTGTATCTTAGGTTTTTACGGGCAAGAGGTCACATGTTGTCTCAAGTTAGTTGATTTTTTTGTCTACTTTTTACTTGTTTTACAGTGGTTACAGTGTTATGCGTCCCCATTGTGGTGTCAGCTTTTATGCGAGCAGAGTGTGAGTGAGTGTATGAGTGTGTGTGTTAGTGTGAGTGAGTGTATGAGTGTGTGTGTTAGTGTGAGTGAGTGTATGAGTGTGTGTTTGTGTGTGTGTGTGTGTGTGTGAGTGTGTGTGTGTGTGTGAGTGTGAGAGTGTGTGTGTGTGTGTGTGTGAGAG